TAATGACTTATAAATTTCCCTTACTTTCCCCCTACATCTACCTCCACCCCAGCAGTTCTAAATATTCTGATTTGAAACTGATTTTTATGGGTTCTTTTTTTCCTATCAGGCCTCCTACATTAGCATTTCCATGTCAAGGAAACAAACCTAACAGCTCTGTCAGTATTCTGCAGAGCATATATAAGATTAAGTGAAAGCCTTGCTTGCCATTACTAAACCTCAAATTTTGGGCACATATATCATATAATTGTCTGAAGTATGAGGATACACAAACTTCCTCCTTGATAAAAAGCAAAACTTTTCAGGGCAGCTCTACAGCAGCTGTTAGAGAAATTTAAAAAGTGGGCTGCTGATGTCACAGATCAGAATTACTACACCAGGACTACAGTGCTATGCAGGAATGTGTTTCATAGCATTTGAGAGCAAATTGTTTTCTATGCAAGATTGGCTCTTCTTGCAGCTGTCCCAGGGATTGTCTGAATAGAAAATACTGCCACTGGAGTGACTGGAGACCTGATTTTCAAAGGTTTTCAGATAGATATCAATGCCAGCACAGAGTGACTTGAGTCTGTGCTTACAAATCCCTTTCTCTGAGACAGAGGAAATGTGTCATTAGAAAATGCCTTGTTCCTTCTCATCACAGTTTTAAGTGTCAGCAGACCAGCTCTGAGTCTAATGTGTTTGCAAAATACATCTGTTGAACACTTTTACATTCTTCCATTGAACTGGTGATCCTCAAGGGCTAGTTGCATTTAGCAAGAGAACTGTGCGCCTTTGTTAATTTCCTTCCATCACAGCCTGCATATTCTTTCTTCAGAAATTACCAGCAGCTGACCTGCTGAGACCAGGTTTGTAGAGTATCTAACTATCTGTACAGGCTAAAAATAACACTACTTTTCCCATGTGATATTAATAATTTAATCACAAAAAAGACTAGTCAGCTGCAGAGCTTACCTGAAGTTTTTTTTTCAGTTTCACTGATGTTTCACCTTTATTGTAATGAGTAGCACTACAATATAGGGTCACAAATCCTGGATGACACTGACAATTAAACTTGGAAAACTGTCAATTAAACAGAAAAAATTTAAGTACAATTATAAGGTATTTAAATGATGCAAGCTTCAAAATATTTTCAGTCCTTATAAACATGCTTTAGCTTTTCTGCAAAACAGCAGCATTCAACAGCAAAAGTCTTCCTGCAATAGTTTTAAGCTTAATTTCTATTGAGTAACAGTGCCACCAAGTGACAATTTAGAGCAATTATGCTTCTTGGTTACCATAAATATTTCAAAAAAAACATTGAGAATGAAGGCTAGAAAGATGGCATCCAACCAAGGGTTTTGTGGTAAAAGAGAAATAAGAAAAGATATAAAATCATATAAATAATTCTTTGGAAGAAACTGTACAGTCTATGAGTTCCAAGTTCCTCAGTTCTCTTTCTCCCCTATCTCATTTTTAAGTATGTTTTTACATCTACTCCCTCCTTTGATCTAGTAGAAGACAGAAATCTATGAAAAGTCGGGTTTTGAACAAAAATTGTCAAAATGCTCGGTCTTTAGCTAACCATACCATAAAATAACAATATTTGATAGGATTTTCTTTGCCAACTTCAGTGTCTTAGAAAGGTGTTCACTACTTTATTCCTCTGGTATATATAAACTGCCTCCTTGCCAGCCAGAATTTATACAGTGCCTGTGTACACCCGTGTTTTCATTGCCCACATTGCAATTTAGTGTAACATGTATGAATTTTTAGAGATCTATCATGTTCCTTGCAACCCTTATTGTGGAAAATTAAGCAAATCAACCCCATAAATCTGCTCTCTCTTAACATGTCTCCTCTAAGAGAGGATCCTTATGCTTGAAGAGACTTGCTGTTTATCAAATATTATATATTACTAGAATTCATCTTAAGTTTCCCTCTATATATTCAGAAAGTCTATGACAAATTTTCTTTTCTCTCTCCTTTGGAGCAAGCATTTTCTAATATCTTTTTGATACATTAATATTATGGAGCTGATGGTATGCCATTTTGTAAGTTTTGTTGACATTTTGTTCAACTCATAAATTGGTGATTGGATACAGATTAGCATCTTGTACGTTTTGATTTGTGGTCCTGTGTTTCTGTAGTCAGTGATTGCCATGTCTGTGATTCACAGCAGCCAGGAAAGCAGGAGGGTGGTATTTAGCAGGTTCCTGCAGCAGGTTCAGATTCAGCCATCACAGGTTTTGGGCTGCTCTACAATACACTACCCCAAGATGCATTTGGGCCAAATGTTTTGCAATTTATAAAGCACTGGGACTTGCCCCCATTCTCAAGATTAATGACTCTCAAATACAACATAGCCAGGGAGCAAGGGTGTAGGTTGGCTCCAGTTGCTGAGCAGGGCTCTGGATGCAGCCATGTAGTGCTGCTGTGCCTTTGCTATTTTCCCATAAATCAGGGGAGAAGGAGGTTGACTTACAGCCAAGAACACAATTTCATTTAGTTTCAAGACTTGCATACAAAAGGAATGAAAGCCACTTTGTGAGCTAAATTCAGAACTGCACTAATGGCTCCATTATCCAGATTAGCTCATGACCTGGGGAAAAAGGATGTGTTAAATATAAAAATAAATCCAAACTTGCTGTGCATTTGGAATACATGTTTGTTTTGCTGATCTAGTGCTGGTGTTGGAATAGATGGGAGGAACAACCTCCAGAAAGCTCTGTTGCAGCTCCAGGTTTTTTTCTACAAATTGCTTTTTATAATCCTGACATTCCTCTTTATCATTAATTCAGCAGATACATTAAATCACAAGATGAATTGCAGCAGCTAATACAGTACATATTGGAAAAGATGGAACAAAACCAATAAAAACTATAATGAACATTTCACTTGAAAAATCCCTCAGGTATTTTGAGGAATAAAAATGATGTTTTGTAGGTTGTCACAATGACAGCAGAATGAACAGTGCATTTATTGCTTTTAATTAAGTGTATTACGGTTCACTTATATTAATAAATGACAACTAAAAATAACTTACCAAGAGAATTTTCCAGGACTGAATACAGAGTACAAGATGTTGCTGTTGCTTTATAACAGGTATAAAACCTGGTTGATTTCATTTACTGCAGAACTGCCCTTTGTACAGCTTAATCTCACAAAATATGAACTGGAGCTGTGAAAGGCAGATTGCCTAACTACACCAGTGGCTTCAAGTATTTCTGGAACAGTTTCTAGTAACAACAAAAGCCAGTGACTGATGCTGAATGTTCTGAAAGATGAAAACACCCATCCTGTGTTGCCTTCCCTGCAGCTTGCACAGCTGCCCAGAGATTCAGATCAGCTCACTGATCAGACCAAAAATTACCTTCACCAAAAAATTATTTTTCAAATTCTGCATCAGGTGATTTTGTGCCTTACTTTAAATTATGTAATGAAGAATTTGAATCTAATTCTTAGAATAAAATATGTACACAATGTCCAAGACACAGATGTGGTCTCTAATTGCTTCCTTAACACACTGTAAACCTTTCTTTATTTTGTTCTCTTCACAATTTAGATGCAAAAGACACCCATATTATTTAAGACTTGAAATTCCATGAGATGAAATGTTAACGTTTTCCAAAAATTAAAAAGAGTGAATTCTAATACACTTCTATGTCTTGGTTTTTGTTTTATTTACATGCTTATTTGTAAACTTTAACTCCAAACTCAAAGTTTTATTTTGGAATAAAATTTAAATAAATGTAAATCCTTGTTTAGTTGGAAGGACATTTTGAGCAGTAAAGTATGTCCATATGGAGCCTTACTTGAAAAAAAAGTAACATGGGATCTCAAGATTATTGTCAATACTATTATTGATTTTATCCCCTTCTCCCTGAGGTAAAGGTGGCCATGCTAAAAAGCTGTAGAGCAAACTGATATAATTGCAGAAACACAGGAAGTTTGTAGGAGGCCAGAAACAAACACATTCCCACATCTGCTGATTAAGATGTTTCACCAAAACATTGATAAAGAATAAAAATGAATCATAGGTTGACAGTATTTTTCAGTATGTGGCAGTATGTTAGTGCATTAATATGACAAAGAAATCTTTTTCCCAATAATGTGTTTGTGATCCACAGCATAGAACCTTCACGTTCCAAAACACGCTTTACGTTTCTTGCATAAATACCTCCTTTGGAGAACAATTTAACAGGCCATTTGGTACTGCATCCTACTAGTTGTTTACTGATGTTCAGACAGATTTAATTAGCTACGTCTTTTGCCTAGAAAGTCCAGGTAGCAAAGAATAGATTCATCCAGTATACCAGTTCTTTCATTATACAAGAATTCAAAAGGACTCTTTTGTCCTTCACCATTATTCTTATCTTCCACTCAGCTTCTAGTAAGTTAGTCTTGAAAATTTTACTTGAAAATTTCTCTGTAGATTCTTAGTTTTCTTACAATTATAACATTTCAATAGTCCAGCCATAATATACCAATCAACGAGATATTTTATTAAAATGCTGAACTACCAGCCCTCCAGTTTCACATGGCTGAATTTTATTAAGAGTATTGAAATCAACTTTGTAGAAAATGTTGATATTAAGGAAAGCTATGTAATTCCATAAAATATATGATTTATGTGTAGATTTTTAAGTCTCTCCATTTCCATTGTTCACAGAAAACGATTTCTTCTTCATATTCTTATGCACGGTGATGACATCCCTCTTTGGTTCACATAACTACCTTAATACAGATTTTGCTAAAAGAATTGAAAGAAACTTCTTCATCCCTGCATAAGAAAGTCTTTCATCCATAATGCAACCACTTTCCAGCATGACTAGTCACATGCAAAAGGTTAAAAGTCACATGTAAAATTATTTTTTAGATGACTGATACTTGTGGAAATATATCAGTCAGGCTTCATTTAAATATAGTTGTCATTTTGAATCTCCAAGAGGCAGCATGTATAGGACAATGCATATAATACTCCTTGTTTGTCTACATTTTGTGAATTTCTGCTTCCACAGGATGGAGTTTCAGCATGGGCTCTGCCTACCAGTTCCACAGCTGGCGAGTGTTTGTGATTGTCTGTGCACTGCCTTGTGTCTCCTCTGTGGTGGCCCTCACCTTTATGCCGGAGAGCCCACGGTTCCTGCTGGAGGTATAACTTCCTAAACAGTTTCTAGATTCCAAAATTTCAAAATTATTCCAAAATTTCAAAAAAATTATTTCTGTTTTATACCATGACCCCTACCAAACAGGCATTTAGATCTTTCAGGGGCTATAGTGAGTAACTTAATTTGTATGTATGTTGTACTGAAATGTTTTGTTGTAATATTTAGGTTGGAAAACATGATGAAGCTTGGATGATACTCAAGCAAATTCATGACACTAACATGCGTGCTCGTGGTCAGCCTGAGAAGGTCTTCACTGTGAGTATTGCTTTTAAAGCTAATCACCTATCACATCAGCAAGCCTCCTGATTGGTGAGGTCTGGACGGCTTAAGGAATCAATATTAATACTCTAAATGGCTAAGCCAATTTTTGGCACTCTAAATACCTAAATAATAAGTGTTGCGAATTCCTACTGAAATTGTTATATATATAAAATGTCTGCTAAGAAATTAGCCTTTGGCCAGGATATTCATGGGTGTATGAAGCCACAGCATGATAATTTTATCTGGTGTACCGAGATAATTTATAGATTCCATCGGAGTGTTATTTCGACCCTTAGTAATAATAGTAGGCACATAGAAGTCAAAATTAGTTAGCTGCTGTGTCTTTAGGATTTTGAATTTTTTTCCATTCTTATCAGGTAGAATAATGGTTTTAAAAACTGCATTTTCACTTCTATAAAATAGTAACTTCAAACTTTTAATATTCTCAAAATGTATTGCAAACTCCAGTTAATTATGTTGAGGCCTAATTATAAGACCCTATTTAAAGTATTGATGGGTGGTTTCTATTGGAGGAGAAAATGCCAATTAAAAAATGGAATTTTTTATGGTCTCTTTGTTATTTATGAAGACTATACACAACAATCTTGACTTCCTGGATACAGTAGGATCAAACAGCACTTTCTTGCTTTGAAATCCAGTCAGGCTCTCCAGCTTGTGCAGTGCTGTGGCAGTACATGTGGGATGTTTTTCCTCTTCTAGAAGATTTCTTCTTACTATAACACACATATAACTCAATTAAGAAATCCTCTTAAAGGTTCTGCATTTGCAGGCAGTTTTGAGGAATGACCATCTGACCATATAACTTATATTCCACTGAGACTTGCAGTTTGCTGCCTTGGATGTAGTTTCCACTGACTCCACTTAAACATCTCCACAAAGAAGCTCAAGAATTCCTATATTTAACTTGAAAGAAAGCTGGCTAGGACATTTACCATGTTAAATCCACTTTTATTGGTACACTGGTGACCTACCCCTAATCCCACCTAATCTAATATTTTATTTTCTGATTTAATTTATGAGTAAGGGATTTGCCTAATGCCATATAGCTATGGTGTAATATCACAATTGGCTCTTGCTGACCTGAGCTGCTCTCAGACAGAATATGCCTGCTCCTGGTGACTCCAGGGGGTTATTTTCTGCTACTATTGATATTCATTGACTGATTTCACAGCCAGCCCCAGTGCTGACCCTGTCCCCCTTTAGTATTGGTTTAGGCACAAGGCAGAAGACAGAAATGTGTTAGGAGAAAATGTGGGAGGAAGGATAAGCCTCTCACGTCACTTTTACGTAATCATAATCACGTCCTAAAGCAGCTGCGGAGAAGAAAACAAAGCACATGCTCAATATTTCCAGCTCTTGTGGTCTAGCAAGCCTTTGTCCCTGTGGCTGTTAAAATGTGACACTCAGACACTTTATCTACAGTCACTTTTGTAAATTGATCAGCCATTAATTTTGCCAGCTTCTGCCTTGAGCATTATGACGACTCTACTCCATTTATCAAGTTGAGATTAGAAATACTGTGCTGTGTGTCAAGGTTAGACATATATAGAAGTCCCTATTTTTAGCTTGCATTAATATAATTAGAAAATGCATCATTCTCCTCTTATTGTACTACATCAGCACTTCATCTCATAAAACCCAGAGAAAAATTTATGCATAAAGAACCTATGCATAATTTGTTTGGCATATCCTTTTAGTTTGTTTTTTTTCTAAGTTAGTCCTCGAGATTGTGACATTTTGTCTCAGTAATTTATTCACAGACTTCTCCTAAACTTTCCATAGTCCTCCTTTGCTTATCCAATGCCATTCTATGACTTACACTTTACTATTTTCCTCCACTTCATGTTGTTAGTTACATCAGACACCCTTTAATAGTATATTTTCTGACTCTATAGATGATGTGGCTTTTTCTCCATTACACTTATAGTTTTAGTGTGATTTTCTTTTATGCATTTTCCTGTATTGTATTGATTTAATATTTTTCTAGAAGCCTTTTTTCACAAGTTATGTTTATTCTTGTTGTTCATGTTATTGAGGGGATTATCTTTAAGCCTTCAGGAAGAAATGACATCAACTGACAAGCAGTTTGGTTTAGAGTTAATCCAAAATAGAGTGTTCTGATTTCTGAATTAATTGAAAGGGTAGTTCTTCATACTTTGACAAATTTGTCCTGAAAGCTGTGATACTAACAGACACTAATAAATTGATAATATCTTCAATCATGGAACTACTGAATCAGCTGTTTATGTGCACACTTTATTATCTTCCTGAATTTTTAAAATACCTATTCATTAGATCTCACGATTTAAATATTTAATTTTTTTAAAAAAGCCTTCCATCCCCAAAATCAACATTTTCTCTACTCCTCAATTATCATGTAATATTTCTTCTTCCTGCAAATATTTTTCTTTGCAACAAGTATTGATTTTTAAAATTTAGAACATTGCATATTTCTAACCATTGTTTTTAAACAGAAGGATCATTTTCATTAAAATTGGCTTTCTTTTCTGGGTTTGGGGTTTTTTTTCATTCATCATACACTGACATGCTGAATTTGCATGCTCCTGAAGGACCATTATCTGACTCAATAGGACTTTTCATATGTTAAAGAACCACCAAGGCCAGGGAACTTTTGTCCCCTACATACAATGTCCTAGGATACATATGTTTCCCCTAATCTCCCCAGTTCCAACTGAATCAGGTGTTCAGTATGGTGAAACTGTTGTCCCTGAGCCCACAAGAGTGGGATTCAAAAGCCCCAGAGGCATGGTATGCAAGGATTTCTGTATGTAGGAGATATCAGATAATTTCCCAGGACTTGACTCAGTCTTTTGTATAACATATTTCCTGAAAGCATTTTAAGAAAAGCTTGAGATCAGTGGAATGATGTGGACAGGATTATTGGAAGAGGCATGACAAGAAAGTTAGAGACTTTTGATAAAGTAATGATCTAGCAAAACAGTGACCTGATGTACTTCAGAAATGAGGGCAGTTGTACCTCAAACTGCTCAGTGAGCTTTACTATATCCTTGTTCATGGGATGAGGCTGCTGTTGCATCTCAAATAGAATACATATGCAAAAGCAGTGGGCTCACAACTTGAGCTTTATTGTCAATATTGCTATTCCCTGATGTCCTGTCACAGTGCATACTGTGGAGGAGGGCACAGGGGGCGTCCTCATTCTGTTCAGAAGAAACAGAAGGTATGTCTAATTTCAGAAACTGCAGCCAAACACCAAATGTGCAGTCTCTTTCTCTCTCCTTCCTTCTGTGTCAGTCCATTTCCCCATTTTATTAATTTTCTTCCTGTTCTTCGCACATCTTTTAAAATAAACTGTGGATAAATACACTGCCTTTTGTGATATAATTATGAAGCTGGGACCAGAGAAGAAACTAAAACAAAAACCATATAGTACTATCAGTTTGTCAGGTCCTGTGTCTGGAAAGACCATGTAACACATCCTGGCTCTGCTACACAAGAGAGTAAAAGTAAAAATTAACATTGTAGGATGCATTACATTCTCTGGTAATTCTGTATTTTTCCCTGATGTCTGTTTATCTCATTTCACTTCAGGTAAGTAGATGATTGGTCATAAAAGCAATAACATGTGTCCAGATCATTTCAGCTCACTCCTTCTCTCTTCATTGAGTTCCCTGTTTAACACTAAGAAAATAAAAATAAAAATAAAAATAAAACTGTTGTCCAGCTACTAGTTCATAACATTTTGAATACTTCTGTTTTCACTGCTGTGTCTTTAATCAAAAGACTTCCAAAAATGTTGTGATAGCAAGTCTGAAACAATTTGAAGGCAAATTCTGGGCACAGTTAACTGGTGGTTTAAATTAATGTGACATCAGAGGTATATACAACAACTCTCTAAAAGAATGTGACAGACAGCAACAGCTTATTGTAGGCAGAGGAAATTTATTTCCAGCATTCATTGAACATAGAGCTTTCTGAAACAGTTGCATTCATAAAGACTTCAGCATTACAATGTGTTACTATTCCTTTATAAATCTAAAACATGTCTAGTTTAGACACAGGATGAGTATCTGCTCATTTTTAGTAGATGGGGTGTAATAAACCCCCATACTCCCATACTCTCATAATAAACACCCCATACTCCTCCAGAGGCAGTTCATGATTCCAGAAACTTCAAATATTTTTGTTCTGTTTTTATTTCTAGGTTACCAGAATCAAAACACCTAAGCAGATAGATGAGCTCATAGAAATAGAGAGCGATACCGGAACTTGGTACAGGAGGTGTTTTGTGAGAATCCGCACAGAGCTGTATGGTGTAAGTAACAACATCTCTCTTCATTCTGTAATTACCTTCTTCCTTTTTAATTGACTTATAGAAATGAGATGGATTTTCTGAGCTCCTGCTGTTGATAGCTGCAATGCTACATTTTCCATGCAACAGGAACCAGTGTAAGGTTTAGGTTTCCTGACACAGAAAAAATGCAGGTGAATCACAGAGCTTTATCCCAGCTTCAGAGGAGGAAAATGCTGCATTGGTCCTCACAGAAGTGATTGCTAATAATTACATTGTGATATTCATAAACAGCACAAAATACCTGTGTATTGAGAATGTGGATCAATACGTATGTATGGAAGGAGGTGACACATGAGGAGATGAAAAATTATCAGGAGGAACACAAGGCAGCCACATTAGTTAATAATGATAAATTCATTAATATATTGTGTAAAATAATGCCTTTATAGGCATTGTATCTGCACTTATTTTTTAGGTTTGTCAAGTGTTTTACCAGAAAAATATTTTAGAACTATTTCAGATTTTAATACAAGCTTGCTGGAACTGTGCTTTTATCATTTTGTTACTTTTTCTGTAAAACCAAAATTACAGAGTATCTTTGAGCCTTGCATCAATATTTGAAATAGGCCTCATTAATTAATTTTGTTAAAGTTCAAAACTGTCTTTTCACAGCTATTAAAAATCTGTCATTTTAAGCTCTCTAGAACTATCATGAAGTCTTGCAAGCCAAGATTTGTCACAAAATTTTGTTGTTAGGAAAAGACACATTTTCCCCAGGGAAAAGAAAAAAGTCAGGAAGTATTTACTTTTACAATTACTGACCAAAAATGGTGCACTTGAAGACTGAAATATCATTTGGCATCTTACTAAACCAGCTTTTAAGGAGTTGCAGTTTGGTTGGTACACATCTTTCCATCTCACTAGACTAGACCCTGGGTCAGAGCACTTTCATCATTGCATGATGGGTGTTGAGACCTCCGAGTCTGGTAATTCTGTGTCCTTCCCTTCCCTTCCCTTCCCTTCCCTTCCCTTCCCTTCCCTTCCCTTCCCTTCCCTTCC